GAAAGAAACAAAAAGGAGAAGCGAGATAAGTTTACTGGTAAAGACTACAAACGACTGCTTGAAAAAGCTGAGAAAAGAGAAGAAAGGTTGGAACAAATACGATCGAGGAATCCTGAAAAGGCTTTGAGAATTGAAAAAATATCCAGTGGAAGAAAGCATTAAGTCGTGTTGAAGGGCAGAAAGTTAAGGTGAGGTCTCGGTACCTTCATTGAAAATTTTGTTGTAGGACTGATCCGAACACATATATGCGTTTTTGCAGGATGATCCAGAGCTTTTAAAAAAAGTTTAAAAAGAAAGAAAAGATGAAAGAATGGCGAAAAAAGAAATGGGCGAATCGTGTTGAGCATACACTGCAAATGCAAACTCGAAGACAAGAAAAACGGTCAGCAAATATCCAAGCTCGTAAAGATATTGTCAAAAAAAAGAAGATACAAAAAGCTCGAAAGAGGGGAAGAATATTGTGATAGTTATTTGGTTCATTTCTGTCTGTAAGATCTGTGTCATTCATAACTTCAATTTTATCTGGGCAATCCAGTTTCTTTGTTCACTCATTTTCTTCAGAAGTATTTGCAAGTTTGTTGCTTTTATCTGGTACTGCCACAGTTGCTAGCGGCATGCGGATATAGATTTATCTGTGAGTAATTATAAAGTTTTTCTTTTTATATCATTGGATTAGTTAAATTTTCCACGATTTCCATCTTTTTTTTGCGAAAGGGATTCGCTGCAACCGTGATTTCCTAATTAAATGAAGGCTGTAGTGGCACTGTAAAAATAGTCTATAAAGACTATTGTAGTCTCATTTAAAAAATTGATTTTTCAGAAAGATTTCTTGTTAACCACATAGTAACAGAATTTGTGCTGTAAAACTGTTGAACTGTGGTGGATTGTTACTTTGGAAATTTAATTTTCTTACACTACATTTTTTACTTTTTGTTTTTTCACTATTGGCTTTATAATGAAAATAAATGCAGTCGTATTTCTTGTTCCATTGCATTGTATTTTATTACTGATTTTGAAGGAGGCGCTTCTTGTTGTCGTGGTACAGGTCGGGTTATAAATATTAAAAATGGAGTTAAGTGAAGGTAGTCAAGTTAAAATTTATAAAAAAGAACGAGGGATGTTTAACGCAAGTTATTTCTTCCACATAGCATCATTCTTGGCATTATGTCTTTCCTCTTAGTTGAGGAGGGAATTTTGGCAAAACTTCTAATTAGATTTTCTTTCCTTTTTTCAATTGGCAGGACATTGTTAAAACATTATTGTGAGGTGGAGTATCAAGAGTAACGATGGAGTCAATATTTGCACATCTATTACTAATACTAACGATATGCAAAGTGACATGCTATGATACATTAATACCGGACTTCAACAAGTTTAAAGATGACATGCTGCGGGCAAAAAAGGAGAATTCGCGACGTTTTAAGCGAGCAAGTTGCAAATGACAATTAAGTTTGAGAGTGAAATTAATCACCTAGAAATAATGATATAAGCAGTAACCATACTACATTACATTTGATAACTCAATTGCATGATATTGGCAATCATGCAAATTTGGCAAATGATCTGTTAGTAGTTTAAAAACAGGAAATCAAAAATTTGAGTATCAGTCAAGTAATGGCAAAAATAATCTGTGACTCAATTTCTGAAGTTGAAATGCAATTTTTATTGAAGTGACCTTTTTTTGGTTGAATTAAAAAAGCAAATTTTGCAAATTTTTTTCCAATTTACTTTTTTTAAAAAAGATAATGCTGTTTAAGTAAGCAAGTTTCGGATCGATATATTTCTACTTAAGTATTTCTGCTTATCCATTCTATTGTTTTCAACCAATATCGACCAATTACAAATCACTTCTCGAGAGTTCAATAATAATTGAAATTGGACTGTAGCCGTCAAGTTTCCAGAGTTTTAGCTGATCAATATAGCAGATCATTATAAATACCAGATAAATGTTAGAATGCATTTAATTAACAAATCATACCTTTTCCAGACTCCAAATGATTACCGTGGATACAGTGAATCACATTTTTACGGAATACAATCAAAATTAAACAATCAATTTGCGGAATTTATAATGCAAGCAGCAACATTTGCAGCAAATGTTCAACGTAATCGGGCTTTTTACTATGATGTAGCAAAAATTTGTAAACTTTTACGTCAACATATCATGTAAGTCATTCGATTAATCAATCCCAAAATCATTTAAAATATTTCATTTGAAATAAAGTCATAATCACAGTTTCAACTTTTTTCTCCCAATAATCTAGAAATTCAACGAATTCACTACATTTCTAAGATATTACAACTACTATTAGATTAATTTTAATTGCTAGAAGAGATTACTGTATGAAAACTTTCCTTCTCATCTTCTTATGTTGCAGTGCGTTCCATTTTTTAATCTATACGATAGCAGTTGTAATACCATGTATTTTGGGTCTTATCATGGCAGCTTTTGTTTGGCGTTCACTTGTACGACAAATTGATAGCATCATTACGGTATGCATAATTTGTTAGAATTTAATTAAATTCACTTTTAAAGTGTGTTTTGTTTGAATATTTGAAAGAGTTTCGAATTGCATTGGTGACTTTTTAAATTGAGCAAAAATTCTCCAAATGATTTTCACCACAATAATGTAAGGTTTTCGGAAAATTTTATAAATTCACGAATCAAACATTTCAGTTATCTTTCAGGCACCTTCAGATGGCGTGGATTTACCACCTTTAGCAAATAAACCACCCGGATTCTATGTGCCTTTACATCGGCGTCCAATAATTTATTTGCAGCTTGCGAAAGAGAAATGCTTTGGAAAGGAAGGATTATACGTAAAAAATTTTGCGGAATTCTTATTAAAATTTAGAAACTTTAAGTTTTAGGAAGTTGGTAGGTGAATTGTGACAATCAGTAAGAAATAAATGAATGAATGACAAAAGAGAGGCTAGCTAACTTTTTTGCTACTTTTTTTTGGCTTGAAAACTACAAAATTGTAATTAAAAACATTAAGAATCAAAAATGAAAAATTCAAAAAGTGTAAATTTGGTTAGCAGAAGCAATGTTTCTTTCAAGCATAATTTTATTCCTGGCTAATTAAGCATACTTTCGCACTGATTTAATTTGCAGCATGAAAACATTCTGCAACGACGAAAAAAGATAACTCATTAAGAGTCAAAATAGTGGAAAAGAATGATCAAATAGATTGTACCATTAAAATGTAATTAAAAAAAAAAAGACTAACTCTATTTTGATTAGCAATAAACTGTTGAAATCACCAAAACGATTTCAAAAGCTAAAGATCATACAGAGATCTGTCAACATCGGATATTTTCTTTTTATGTCTCCTGGGTCATAAAGCAGAGAATACCCCTGAATCGCTTTGCATCATTGAAGGACATGTGAGATAGGAGAGAATATTTTTTGTTGACATACTTGAAGCATCCCACAATAAACCACGATGTATTTTCTGCTATTAATAGATTGCGCAGCGGTATCAGTAAATTATTTTATTCAATTATACAAATTTTTCCGTATTAAGCATAACAGTGAAGTCACAGCGAAATCTGCATAATGTAAGTTTTTGCTAAATGATAGCATGTTGTTTGTGTGATCAATGCTCCGAGCTTCCTCATCAAAGTACCGAGGATTTATCACATGGGTATATGTTTCTTCGTGATATTATTATCACTTTGACAAAAAATTAAATTGACCAAAAATCCGAAATGAGGAAAGATAAAACTGAAAATGACACTTCAGCAGAAATAAGTGCATTTAGCAATCATAAGAAGTAGCAGTTTAAAAGATTTCATGGAAATTAATTTTGTGCGATTATTTTCACATAAAATTTTCGATCACTTTCTCAATATGTTCAAAATTTCAAAAAAAAAATTGTCACAATCATTAATAAAGACATTATCAGTGATTATAATAGGTAAAAACCTTGCTGAATGCCCAATGTTTTTATATTCCAATATTAATTGAATGTAAGAAACTTGTAATAGAGTACAGTTAAAAAACTGTTTACAAAAATCAATCAAAAAGTGACTTTGTCGTTAATAATCCGTTTCAAAAAAAAAAGAAAAGAAAAGACTGGATAATCAAAAGAAAGAGAGTTCTATGCAGTTAATGATTAAAATAATATCCAGCTATGGAGCATTTTCAGGAATCGCGCAATTTAAATTCTTAAAAAACTTCTATGATATAAATTAGTTGTAAAAAAAAATTGCTAAATTAGATTCTTATTTTAACTTGACTTACAGGACTGATATTGCGAGCTATATTTTTCTTGCAGTTATTTTCTTTTATTAACCATGAATGTAAAAGAATTCAAATCATATTCCAAAACATACATCACAGCATAATAAAATGAGGAATGAAGCTCTCCACTTGAAAAATGCCAATTTTTATGAAAAACAATCAGTATGGATGATGCTGATTTATATAACAAAGTCTAATTCAAAATTTCAGGAAATTTAAGCAATAAATTAAATGGATGCTGATAGTTGATGACTTGATCCATCGATGTTTGTTGAGCAAAAGTAGTTTGAGTAAACTAACAAAGTTTCGTTGAAAAATAAACACATAGTCATTAATTAGTTTGGGAAATATATCACAAGTGAAGTGTGTCTAATTAAAAATCATATTCGGAGACAGCAATGAAAACAATGAAATCATTTAACAGTTCATCCGCTCTATAAGCCAACTTTGAGATACTTCGTACGACGAGTTTATATGTTCCTGCTCTAAGTGGACTTTCTGCATTTTGTAACGTTGCTTGACCATTTTTTGTCTGAAGTTTCAAAAGCGTCAAACAAAAAAAAAATTACACAAGTTGAATGTCAAAAAATTGTTTATTTGGAAATCTTTTGGAGGATTTATGGATCATAAAGAATTACGTTTAGTTAACGATCACCTAAAGGAACCGAAAATTGACAAGTTTCTGGTACAGCTGCCTCTGTATTTGCAAGCAGGTGTGTTCCATATTCGTCCTCTACTATATCAGTCGATAAATTTCTTTTAGCTAATAAACAGTAACACAGTAGTATCGTTTTGGCTTGCTTACAAACTATTGAGAATATGCAGCAATGTCATTGACAGAAAAATTCTGTGATGAATTTATCAACTTGGGAACCAACGAAATCAACTAATTAAAACTCTTATTCTATGATTATTTCATAGCTTCGTCTATTACTGAAAATAAATTTAGCTTACTTTAAAAATAAATGGGATCTGTTTAGCGAATCTTGACATTGATTTAATGATGAACCGTGTCCGATGAAGCATTCTTGACCGGTGATCGTAAGCTGTCAAACGCAGTAACGAAGTAATCGGTGGTGTGGTCTTCGGTATTGATATCATATATATTACTATGGGTGATTTCGAACAGTTGTGACAATTTGGTATGCATTTCCTGAAAGTGCATTCCGGTTACAAAATTTTTCTCGAAAAAACCCGGTTTCATTTGATAAAAAAGTATAGTGCAGTTTGAGATTCGTCGGAAAAAATAAAGAAGCAAGATATTGTGCACTACTTTTTCGAAATAATCAATTTTACAGTTTGTAAATCAGATACTAATTAAAATTTGCTTACTGTTTTTCCAGATGATAATCATTTGGACACGGTGTCGTAAGGCATTCGTAGCTTCCCAACTGATTAAAACATAATTCATCTTTGGAGCACGGATCGTACATGCATTCATTTATGTCTGCAAAACACGATGAATGTAATTTTGAAATTGGGGTTACATTTAATATGGAAAGCATGTAGAAAGTAATAAAGAAACTATTTAATGTAGAAAGCATACAGACACCACTTTTATTTAATTTAATTATTGTGCTAAGAATTCAGCACGTCTCAGAAATCAGAAATTTTAAAATTGTCAAAAGAAGAGTTGTAAGACTGGGAAGAAAATTAAGACTATTATTAAGCTTAATGAGAAGGACAAAACTAAACCCATCTTTTTGAACAAATCCAAAGTAAGTAATTTAAATTTCAAAGAATATTAGCCATAAGTGCAGCAATGATTGGTTAGGAAGCTTAAAGTTCTAATCTCCACTATTATTCTAGCTTGTTTTGAAATGAACAGCTGACACTGAAGTAGTAGGAGTAGTAGTAGTAATGATTATTACTGTACTATTAAAAAAAGAATTTAATTTTGTGAATGAATTTACCGGTACAGTTATTCTGCTCAACTGTGTAGCCTTCTGGACACAAACATTTATAACTGCCCTCAACATTTTCGCATTTATATTTGCATGGTAAATTGAAGATACATTCGTTAATATCTTAAAATTCCAAAATATGAAATACTGTCGAAGGAATTTAAGGCTTCTGAAGAATTCATCATAAAGAAAAGTTTGCTTGGCTAATTATTTGCAAAGGACTGAAATTGGTGACAATAGTGAAATATGAACTATTTTGAAAATGACCACAATACAATCAATCTCAGCGTCAAAAATATGAAGGTTTGATGACCAGAAATATAGTCACTCACTTCTGATTGCTCATCATATTTGATCATTAACTGCATATTTGATCAAATAAATGGTGATCGAACTTGTACTGTCACCAGTTGTATTATGTCCTACTGATATGCTTTTCATTAAATAAGATTAATACCTTGACATGTCCCACCGATACGATAATAACCTGGTGGACACGTGCTCCAGTTTTCATCAAATCTAATTGATTTTAACTTTGTCAAAGTTCCTCCCGATCCTGAAACACAAACATCAGATGGAAATAAAAGAAGGTAAGACAGTGCTAAGCGAATTAATTAACAGCATACCTTCGCAGTGGCTATTATTATCGGCTGGGAAGCCCGTTGGACAGATACAACTGTATGAGCCTAAGTGGTTCAAACATTTCAAACTACCGCACAACAGTTCTGCACATTCATCCACATCTAAAAACTTACTATATCATTACCATTGTTCAAAATATTGCTGAAGTTATTTTAAATAAAGTACCATTGTAGTAATAGATTTTTACTGATTTTACGTACTATTTACGAAGAGATTATATGGTAAATAAAGAAATTATATCACCTAGTAGCAGCTTAAAGATTTGATCCAAATATGGATTAAGTCGATTATGAAAAGCCTTGCGATTTCTATCATCTCTTGACTTAATATTACAATCTTTGAAAAACCAAAGAAGACGTATGACTTTTTTAAGGCTCAAAAAATGTCCCGCGAATTTTGATGTTCCTTAACATTTGAACACAAGAATGCTTCTTGGGGGAAATTTCATTATTGTAAGTTGGAAGTATGTTTCAAAGTCGAATTATTCATGACAGGTACCTTTACAATGACCGATGGAATCCCGAACATATCCTTTGGCACATAATGATGTCTCACATAAGAAGCTACCTGCAAATTTTCCATTTGTACACTTGAGAACAATTACTTACACCGCTTGTGTTATTCCTACTCATTCATCAATAGACAGAATTGAAATACATGACACACCTGGCATATTCTTGCATGGCACACCACCTGTACAATTATGTATACCAAGAGTGCATTCATCAATGTCTTCACAGTCACCTTTTGGACCTGCTTTGAAACCTGGTGGGCAAATGCGCTCGCATATATAATCTCCAACAGTATTAACGCAATGTGCTTGCTCGTGACATATTTCCCGAACAGATTCACATTCATCTATATCTGAATTGGTGGTGATTTATATCATGTCAAGATTTATAAATCAGCAACGATATCAACGATATTTTTGTTGGCATAAGTTACTTTATCACAAAAGACTATGCTTTACACTTTTCCCATATTTAAAATCAAATAATTCTCAAATCTTCAAGTAATCTTATGAAATTAAGAAATAAAAATGATGTTTTAAATTAGAAAACTAACCAGCACAGGAGCCATCCTTAATTTGATAACCAACTGGACAAGTGCCTCGAATTGATTCAGTTCTAACCATAGCACTTAATTTGGCGTCATCGTGTATCGCTTTCCAGAATACAAATTTAAAAGTTACAGATCGGCCTAGACCGATATCCATCCCTTTCGATGCATCATAAACAATGCTCTCATTCCAGCTTAGAAAATTATAATGAAACACAAGTTAAATTTATAAAAATAAGGAGAAATTAAGTTCATTCGGTTTCTCCCATACTTTCCTATTTTCCATACCACCTCCTGTACCTTTCTCTTCTTTCTACTCTATTTACATTTCAGGTTTCTAGAGTTCAATTCTGTGTATATAATTTTAGCTTTATAATGTCCTAAAACTACTTTTTCACTAATTGATAAAGAAGATAAGAAGATTAATAAGATGGTATCCATCACCTCTCTAAAACTCCAACTTAATCATATCTTAATATTTTTGGAAAACTAACTCACTAGAACGGTATATTTGCTTGATTCCCAATACGTAGAATTGCGAATCCATTGCCGCGTATCATGCCTGGCTCTTGTTCGACCATCTCCTCTTTCGCCTGATCCACCCAAGAGTAAGTCTGAATTCAAATAAAACAAATGAAGCCAAAAAATTATTTAGCACAAAATTATAAAGTACTAAAGGCTGATTTTTGTTGACCTGTTAAAGCATTGTTAATAACAGTGATAATCAGAATGCTTCCACTTCTTATAACTCTTTAGCAAGCAGATGATGATAACTTATTCATGGTCTAATTTGTCATATGAATTAAATTTTTATCTTTTTCGAGTGATTCTTGAGCCCTGTTAAGTGAATGGGATAAAAGACCCAATAAAAATTCAAACCTCACAGTCAAAATGTGGCACTCTTCCATTGAAAATTATTTCAAATTTCGCATATTCACCATCCAAGCCTAATCCTTTTTGATAAACGCGCATAGTTTCACCGCTTTCAAAGCGATAATCAATCACCCGATGAAATTCTACACTTGCAAGTGAATTCTCCTGATTCGGATTGAAAGCTAACTGTGGAGAAGCTACCACCATATAGCCAAGCACTGTTTCTGCTGTAACGCCTAAACTAACTTCGAAATTATAAATACTTTAATATTTCTGGTTGATACAAGATATCTATTCTACTCTATCTCATATCATGATAATCATTACTGAATCTTTTGTTTAATTCTTTGATCAGATGAATTCCTTTTACAATCTCTTTATTTCCATACCTTCTTTCTAGAAGATTTGTAATTACTCACAATCCCTTAATTAGTTGGACAGACTTAGAAAAACTGCGCAGAAGAAAGTTAATTTGAAAAATTTTCATATTTAACAACACTACAAGACTGTTACACAGCGTTATATTCACAACTTCGTTTATGAAATCATCAAACCTTGGTCGTTGAATATGCCGTTGACGTTCAGTGAAACTACATTAGCTTCCATTTCAGGTTTTACACTTACAAGTACTGTTTCACGCCTAAGCCTTCGTCCATCCACGACCCCTTTCACTTTGTTAATCACACCAGCTAGACCTGCTGAAGAAAGATTTTTGAATTTCAAAAAATACAATTTAAAGTGAGATCCTGATGGTGATAAGAGATTTCAAGAATTTCAAGTTTCATTCAACTGATTTGAAATGAATACTGTAGTTGATATATACTTCAAATAAGATATTTTATGGCATACAAGACAATCATGGTATATAAGACAAGTTTTTCTAAACAATGAAACTTCGGTTAAGTGACATACATAACTAAAACTAAATCGATAAACATACCCAAAAAATATATTACCCGAAGTAACTTACTTCTGACAATCACTTTTACATCATCATATGACTTCCCGTATCGGTTTGATGCTACGCATTTGAATATAGCACGATCAGAAGGTAATAATTTTGTGATATGGAGAGAATTATTGGCCTGAAATTTTTTATGTCATGTGAGCAGGAATTCGATGTAAAAGTGAAACATTCTGTAAAGTTCATTACATCATTGCTATGTATTTAATCACTTTCAGTCACATCAAAGGCGACATGCTAAAAGATAATTTAATTCGTTATGAAAAAAAATGTATCTTTTGATTTAATTTGAACGTTTTCAGGGAAATATTCAAAAAGATACAAGCACTCTTGTTCTGCTACTATTCACCAATTTCACATCATTTCTTGTCCATTGAACCATTGTCGTTAACGGATTGGACATCAATTTACAACTTAGAATCACTGATTCATTCAGGTTGACAAAGACTTGTTTTGGCGACACCTGAACACGTGGTGCAGCATCCTGTATTTCCAAGAAACTTATTTCAATTGCTTGTTTCCGATTTGTCGCATAGCACTGATATCCAAGTAAGTCTGTCTAAAAAGGATATTTAAGAGTATTTGTTAATTGTCTTTCCAAAGTCCATAATGACCAAGATATCTTCCATAACTCTGAAACTTGAAGTCCTAAGGCAAACTATCGAGTCCACATGGTCGTTCCAAAAAATTAATGTAGACGATTGTTGGCATTATTCTGTCCTCCGACAATTTATTTCACTGGTTTATAAAGTCAACTGAAAATTTAACAGACCTTGAGAAGCAAAATTAACACCTTCCATTAGAGTTAAATCTGAAGGGAGCTAAAAGCTTATATGGACCTTTGCTTATGCTCTTTCAAATTCCAGTCAGCAAGTCCTTTAAATACACCAGTAAATAAAATTTTAAATTAATTACCAAATTACTTTCGGTGACGTCATAAACAACAAGCGAACCGTTATGCAAAAAGTTTACTGTTTCAACAGAACTGCTCAATATTGTATTGGAAAATTTCCAAACTACACTTTTTTTGGAACTGCATTGTAGAACACACAATTTAATATTGCGACTGAGCGTTTTTGAGCCTTAAATTTCGATTTAAATTTAAATTGATTATTCAGTCTAATTAATCCCATAAAATGTGTCAAGTTTGGAACCAAGAGAAACGAATCATTTGAGGTAGACACAAATTCTAGGCATTAATTAACACATCACTCAAGCACCATTCAATTGTACTAAGAATCACAGCACAAATTAATCCAGTCGTGAACACAAATGTTTTGAGTAAATTCCCATGAATAGTTTATAGGCTGAGTGTCCAAGAATCTGCTTACCTTTTCTGCAATTTGATCTAGCAATAAAGTAGCAATACTGGTAACAAAACCAACAGCATTCTGTGCTAGGCAAGTATAATCACCCAAATCTTCATTACTTTCGACTTTCACTCGCAATATCGAATAACTGTCCGATGATTGCGAAATACCTGCTAACAAAGCTCCGTTACGAATCCATATAATATGTGGCTTAGGCTGACCAATAGCGCTGAAAATATTTGACCATCATAATTCCTCCACAGTTCCTATCATCATTTTATGAATTCCCCCTTCATTTCCTTTGATATCAGAGCAAGTTTTCGAGATATTTCCACAGTTAAAAGGATGGAAGCTTATGTTGAATCAATCAATAACTTTAAAAAAGCTATTTTACCCTGATTTTTTTTAATTCCAACAGTTCAGAAATAACCTGCAGTGAAGATGAGCGACAGCTCCTTGTCGAACTTTTTGTGTCCGTGGTGATCTTATGAATCTGGGCAAAGTTAGTGCAGCACGACGTGGTCCACGAGATTCAGGTAAACAACGTATCAGTATTCCATCAGTTCCATTTTGTGGAAGATCCTGAAAATTGCTAAAAGTTAAAAAGATGGTTTTCCTCAGAAACATTAGTACAATACAGATTGAGAATCAAATGAAAAACCTACTCAAATTTCTGGATTCGAGACTATGCAAGTCTAGAATTTAATAATCGTCAGATAGTTATTACCATTGTAGTGATATAATTTGCATAAATCAACACAGAGGATGGCGTACCTGTAGATCTTGCTTCCATGGTAATAAATTGTTATCACCTTCGGGGACATCACCGCGTGCGGGCACAAATGTCGTCTTGATTGGCTGTCCAAATTCATCGCATTCCACCCAAATTACTTTATAATCTTTCCTTGCATCTGAAAAATCGAAATGAAAATTTTACAGTTTTGTCCGTTAAAAGTTAAGAATCTGAAAGGATATTATACCGAATAATTTTTACATTTTACGGAGTCCACTTTATATTGCTATGAAACTGCGTTTCATTGTTTATTTGAATACTCTTTTACCAAAACTAAAATATGTCCAAAATTTACTAGGGAAATGAAATTTTAAATTGCAAATCAAAACAAACATAAGGTTGTTATCTGAATTTTGAAAGAATTTAAACGAACCATGAACAATAAGCCGTCTTGACCCGATTGCTTGACCAGCATTACTTTTTGCAACACAATGATAAAAACCATCATCTTCCGGTTTCAGATTTCTGATATGCAACGCTGTTCCATAGATTTGATACTCTGAAAAAACTCTCTGTAGACTTTTCAGACTTCACACGTTGGAGATGTTAAAAATTCAAGCAAGTTTAGAGATTTAAATACTTTTCAGATATGTTGGAAACCTTACTCTTTTCATTTCCGATAATGTCAATATTTGGCATTTTCACCCAGGATACAGCAGGTTCTGGCACTCCTGTTGTATTACATGTCAAGATTATCGTCTCACCAACGTTTGCCGTCATATTCAGTCGTTCTGGGTGGATTTCCGGTGGAACTGCAATGTCAGGTAAAATAGAGAGTACTTCATATTTATAGCAATTGTTGAAGAGTTGAAATAGTTCAAAAATGTCACAAACTTAAAACGACTAAATCGACATCCTTATAACTGGTACCAGCCCAGTTCTCTGCTTTGCATGTGTAAACTCCACCATCCTGACTTGAGACATTTGGAAAGAAGGCGGTCGATTTCAGCACATCCGTATAATCATCCAAAGCTGCTGCAATGCTAATTTCAACGAAAAATTTCCACACTGGATGATGATGAAATGATAACGGTAATCGATAATAATATGAGTGATAATATGCTTATAATTAGGTGTAATATCAACAAACTCTGAGATAATGCTTTATCATCCTTCAACCATGTGATATGTGGCTTTGGTATACCGACTGCTTCACACCATAATTCAGCTTGCTGACCGCTCTTTACAGTAATTCTCCGCGGCTTTTCAGTTATGCGTGGTGGAACTAAATTAAGCTTTGTTTTATATCATTTCCAAAGATCATTTACTATCTTCCAAATTGCTAATTAATTGTCAATTTCTGAACGATCAGAAGAATAGATTTCAATGCCATATTTATAAATACATTACTTTCATAGTTCATAAAGATGATCAGACAAATTTGGTAGTTAAAATCAGAGAAAAATTCCCAATGACTAACCGCCAACATAAAGTTGTTGTATCTGTGTAGCATTACCAGCCGGATTAATGGCAACGCAACTGTACATTCCTTCGTCATGCAGCTTAGAGTGATGTATTCTGAGCTGTGTTCGATCCGGACTTAATTCCAAGTTTGGCTTTAACACCAGCGGTTCATTGTCCTAAAATTTTAATATCTAAAAACAAAAAGACAGTTTGAAGAAAATGATTCAATCTGTTTCGTTTTTTGATTGAATTTAAGGTATCATATCGTATTAGCATTTTGTAGGAGTATCAGTAAAACTTGATATCTTATATTGCACTTCGTTCCTTAATAATTCATCCATTTAAATATTAAATGTTCTAAGAACTTTTCAAAATACCTGATGAAAATCCAAAAAAAAAGCAGCTATCAGGCCTGCAGCAATGATATTCACATTAATTACTTGAATATGAGTGTGATTTAAAATAACTTAAGCCATACCTTGTACCAGTAAATCTCAGAAATTTCTCCCTCGATTTCACAGATCAGCAATGATGGATCACCTTCTGTTGCATTGATTATCTTGATACCTTCTTCTCTCAGAACTGGTGGGCCTAAATTGTAATAGGTGATATTATTCATAAAAACAAATAATCAGTGAGTCAAACGAAAAAAGAACTGTTACAATTTCAACAACACTCAGAATAATTAGAACTTATCAAGAAGCAAAATTATAAACAAACTTGAAAGTTACTTACTTATCACTTTGATGACATATTCTTTGCTATCTGAACCAGCATTATTTTTTGCTATACATTTAAAAGTTAGCCTTGCTTGTTTCGGCGCTTTTGCAACAAACAAAGTACCATCTTCCGCTGAACACATATTGAGATTATTGTTTGATTCTGTCCACTGACATATTGCGAATTATTAATCACGCAAAAGGAAAAGGGAATGTCATGGAAGTGCTAAATACGTATGTTCATTCCCACTCGATCTAAGATACAGTTATAAGCTTGGAAGTATAGTTCAATATTTTAAGTCATTTTTACATTTAAGTTTAAATCAAGGTTAGTCCACTTGTTCATTATTATGAATAGTAAGAACAGATTTCCCTACACCTCAGAATCGTTAAAGATTTTAACATTGACACTTACCGATGGAATACTCTGCTTTGTCTTTGCCGATTATCTGCTCATTCAATGACCATGTAATATCTGGTGGTGGAAAACCGCGCACACCGCATTTCAGGCTGAATGGGCTGTCAACGGGGACCAAAGATTCGTTCGGGGATATTGTGATGATACGGGGAACGACTATAAACAATAATTTTTGAAAACGAAGAATGAAAATTAGCTCTTCAGAATTTGAAAATCAAATGTTAAAAATATGTTACCGAAGACTTCAAGTGTAAATGCCTGTTGAGCGGTCCCAGCCTCGTTCGTTGCCAAGCAAACGTACAAACCGGAATCCGAACTTCGAGCATCTGTTATTCGTAGCATCTAAACAAAAAAAATAAATTCGATCTGCAAAATTCCTATAAAAACTTGCAGAAAAGCAGTAATTTTTAAATATATCGAATTCTTGAACAAATTCTAACTCACACAAGACGTATTTGGAAAGACAAGGAAGTACATTTTGATTGTCTATTTTATAAAAGATGAAGTTGACCTTATCTTCAGTAATATATCTCATTCCAGTTTCAATCCGAATTCCATTTCGTTGCCATGTGACCACTGGTGGTGGTTCACCGTCCGCATAGCATGAAATTCGGGCTTCTTCGCCCTCAATAACTTGGTAATTACCACCGTTCAATATCTTTGGAGCTTCTGAAGAGTATAGAAGAAAAGTCTGGATGACAAAGAGTGACCTTTGGTCTTTGAGAATTGCAAAAAAAGAGAATGAATTGTATGAAATTCAAATAACATTAAAAAGACTTACGAACTATAGCAACTGTATATAATAGGACATCTTTGCCAGCAATATTTGATGCAACACATTTGTATGCGCCATTGTCATTCAGTGTAACATCTTTTACCTTTAAATGTTAGTAGAATAGTTGAAGACAAAGAAAATCTCTTCCTCTTTATTCTCTCTCTCTCTCAAAAAAAGAAAAACAGATGAGAAAATCTCTTTCTTCCTCAAAAAAAAAAAAGTTTTCAGTTGTGGTAGTCGCAGTGGAACAAACTGATTTACAATGAGTATCAAGGTAAAATGAATTTCTATGAAAATCTCTTTCTCTTGTCTATCAGGAGCTTAAAAAATACCTGAAGATAACGACCACCTTCACCGATGATCACATTCGATGTTGTTTCTTTTATCATCGTATCATTCACATACCTAAAATAATACAGTATTTCACAGTTAGCAACATTATGAGCGGATAATTTAAGTAAGATTCTAAAAGGAAGCCTTTTGAATATTTAAAAAAAAATGGTAGTTACAGTAGTTATGAAATGTGAGGATAAGAAAAACTGACCAAAATATTTGCGGTAATGGTTTACCAGATGCATCACAAATTAATGTCAAAGTTTGAGAAGTCGGTAATCGTGGACTCATTTCAATGTTGTCACGATTAATTCTTGGTGGCACTGCAAATGACACTTATAATTATTGGAAATTTTAATTTGTTAAGAAAACAAGTAGAAATTTCATCACATCAGTACCTAGAACATCGATGTGTACAGTAGCGGAGGATGTACCAACTTCATTCACTGCAGTGCATGTATATTCACCCACATGTGATTGTTTCAAACGAGGAATATCCAGTCTTGTTCCTTTGATTGAAATTCTTGCACCTAAAATAGAAATACTTTTTGATTGAGATTGAGTCTAGATTGAATTGAGTCTAGACCTAGAAAGAAAAACGGAAATTTCCATATTAACTAATACCTATTTCAAAATTCGATCAAGACATACTCTTATGTCTCATTTTCCTTATATCTATAATCTCTGGTTTATTGATTCATATTTCTAATAATAATAATTATTATTACTTATTCTCTATTTCTTCAATTTGAAATACATTCCATATTTTTCGCTGGATATTCTGGGAAATTTAATCCAAATTTTTGTGAACTAATTAATTCTTTTTCAACATTCAACGAAATTAGAAGTAAAAATACTTGATCTGACCTTCTGCAGAAGTGATCAATGGTTGACCATCCTTGCTCCATGATAACGATGGTTCTGGATTACCAGTAGCTTGACATTGTATCGTGATGACACTATCTACTGGTCGAACATTATCCTCCGGATGTATGAACACAGTTGGAAGTGCTGAAAATTAAGATAGAGAGGATGAAGTTAACAAACATTTGAATCAATAGCAGTATCTGATTAATCCTATAACTGTATAGATAGTATTGCATCAATGGCGGTATCTGACTAATGGCTGCATAAATAGTATTGAATCAATGGCGGTGTTTGCTACATAGATGACTAATTTCGTGACCGTTTGGATAGTATTTTTTCTCAAAAAAAAAGAAAAAGTATTATAAGAATGCAAAATTTCACTCCAAACATCCAATGTTAATTCGTAGTCTGTTTTACCAGCCGCATTTGACGCTTCACACGTCCAAACACCGGCATGCTCACGTTTGGCTTCCAGAATTTCCAATCCTATAATCAGAAATAAATCAAGAGATGTTTAAATTTAATAACATCTTCGAAATTACTTTTAAAATATATCTAAATTCACATTGTAATCTCTTTATAATAATTTGAATAGATTTCAGAACTTTCGAAACTCCGGTAGCATTCATATATTTGGTATTAATTAAATTGCAAACCCTGTCCATTATCAATCATTCGTATACCACTATTTTCGTTAATTGGTACAAGATAACCATCTTTGATCCATCGAATTGTTGGCAATGGATATCCGGAAACCATACACCATAGGGTAATCGGACGTCCGGCAACAACATGGGGTTGCTGCTCATTTCGACTATAGTCTAGCTGAGGTGCTGCTGCAATGAAGAACATTTTTCCTATTAATAATGCCGGTAATTAAATTGAAACATTCAAAAGTTTAATAAATGAGTGGAAGTTATAGCAAAGTTTCATTAATAAGCTTGAACTTACACATAATGAATTACAAGTTTTATGTAATTCAAACAAGAAGCTTTCTTAAGCAAATTAGCTCAATTGCATACAATTTCTGCATTTATTTCATATTAAGTATTCCATTTCATATATCTTACTTAAAGTTTGTCTTAATAGTCCTGCATGTATCTTTTATTCCCTTTTAAAATGTGCAACGAGTAAAATTAATAATGCGGTAACGAAATTTGAAACTTTTCAAATCCGATTTTTTCTAAAATTTCAATCTTTAGCACTTCCACTATTTTAACAATTTATTAGACCACGAGGATCAACTGGCTAGTCAGTGTGACGATTTCCTCTAATCACTATAATTTGAGATAACTTTGATCAAAACCAACATATCATTATTGTGTACTGTTAACTTTTCCAGCAGAAAGAGATTACATTCTCTTTCCATTTATTCACAATGAAACTCTGCTTACTGTAGTCTAAATGCGTTTGAGATCAGATAGATATACCTTTGGTAAATTTCCCACTTCAAAATTCTTTTCAACAATCACAAACAAATTTAAACAAATTATTGCGTAGCTAGAAGTTAATGTCATATTAATCTAAAAAGATTTATGCAACAAACAGATGAATTTAATGTAGCCAAGAATGTTAATGGATGATAAGCTGAACTGAACTGGTCAGTTATTCCGTTAAACACATTTTGATAGTATGACAGTATTCTGCAAATACTTTAAGATTAGTAAAATTAAGAGTAATCGAAAATCTTTTTTAGCAATATCAGAAAACAGATAAACATTAAAAACCTGTAGGTTTGATTAATTAAATTTGAAAAAAAGAAGTCTACATGAACAATTTTGTAACATCGTTCCAGTTCTTCGAATTCTGTGAAGTTGTGATAAATGATAAGGTTTAACCGGATATCTGTTTCTTTCCATGCTGATACATAGTTTATTGAAAACGGATAGGAATCAATATCAGTTATCCCATCAAATCAAGTGAAATTGTTCCCATACAAATTGTTCCCATACATACATGAGCGATTAGTCGTTACTTTTTATCATTAATCAATATCACCAAAAACACTCCTACCATTTATCAGTAAGCACCATCATGAGCATTAATATCATTGTGTTAGAATTACTACTGTGCGGTGGGTTATTATCAGAATGAGTTATAATCATTTACGTGATTGGTAATTAGTAATGAGATTTTGCACACATTGCTTCGCTAAAAATCATTTTAGATCGGATCTGATTGTCATTCAACTCAAGCAAAAATTCCATAAAATCTGCATTTTCAGGAAAGGAAAAATTCAAATATAAACGACGGAAACAACTTATTTCCAAATGACCTCACTGATCAAATTAAAGTATCGATTATGATGGCTACGATGTCTGTGCGCAGATTACGAAACACTTTCCAGTCAAGATGAAACTATTTCGATCGTTATCACCAAACGCTAATAACCGGTAACTATTACTATCTGCGGAAAAAATTCTGTCTGGAATAATTTACTTCTTCGAATAATCATTCCACCATAACTGGTTTTGTCTTATCATTGTCCGTAAATGAAACTGTAGTTACTGAAGTAATCGGAATAAAAACCGTTTCCATTAGCTTAATCCGATGAATATCTTTCTCTCTTATCGTTATCACACACTGTCTTCTCTTTTATCCATCTGCCCAAATGAGGCAAAATCGTGACACTAATTGCCAAGTTAGCATAATAGAGTAGTGCATATTAGTGATTAAATCATTATGCTACTGATTTTCTGATACATCTATTATTATGAAAGCGATCCTGATATGCTTTAGACCCCACTTCCGATTACGGTATATCCTATATTTGCATGGCAACATTGCGAAATTAGCATCAATCTGTTGTTATCACCACTTTTTTTAGTAGGATGAGGAATATCTTGTACATAATGTACCCGATGTTATTTCTTAAGATCAGCATAATTTGCTTTTGTGTCTTCTAGATGTTTAGCTTCTTCTACCTTCTAACAATATTCAGAATTCAGATACGTACAAAGTATTTCCACGTAGAAATCAAGTGATGATTCTCCTGCACGATTCAGTGCAACGCATGAATAATTACCGGCATCAGAAACTGACATACGGGCGACATGCAGCCGTTGACCGTCAGATGTGATCTGCAATGGCAACGGGAAAAATAATGAATATTTCAATTTGGAAAAGTAAATTTAAATATAATACTTACAGTTTATAAATTTATATTTGAAATTCATTTTTTTGAAATGAAAATTAAGTATTCAATTACGATGATAACATTGGAATGACCAGACATTTTCCTTTGAATAAAAGAAATACTACAGTGACTCAGTGATTCGGTGCAATTTCCTTATCCCGACAGTGTTTATCGAACAGAGAAGAACAAGGGAGACATATAAAATCAATCAATTAATTCCACCTCAAAGATCACCTTGTTCTGTATTTACTTATTCTAAAACTTCCCTTTTCTAGAAAGGTGAACTGAAATCGTTAATAATATTACGTTAAGCTTAAAAATCAATTCAGTATGAGAATCAAATTTCAAACAACCGTTCCTCTGAAATTTGAAACTGTAATCGATTTCCAAACTTTTTATTGTCAAGGAAATGATTGTTTGTTTGTTTACTTGGGGGGAAGAGGAAGGAAAAAAGGCATAACTAATGTTTGGGGAGCAAATGGAATTATTTGAAAACAGAAATTTTGACTAACTTTAATATTTGGCAGTGTGAGTCCATCAATTGGACGGCCATCTTTGTACCATAATATTTCAGTTTGAGTTGCCGAATCTCCGTCATTTTTTACCGGACAGAACAATGTAAGACTATCTTTTTCTTGTTTCGTATATTTTTGTGGTTGCACTGTTTCAAGTTGTGGTGGTACTGCAATTTGAAGCTAAATTGACCACCTTGTGGACAATAAAACATTTCAATAGAAGGAAGAAAGAAAGCCAACCTAACACTTCCAAATTAAAATTTTGTTCCACTCGGCCTCCTTTATTTTCAACCACACACCGAAACTGTCCCTGATCACTCACTTTCACTTCCTTGATTCCAAATGTTTGATTATTCTGCAAAGTCATTTGCTAATGACTCATAAATTTTTATATTTTAATTTATAAAAATTTGAATTATTTGCCAAACTTTCATTTCTTACTGTTAGTAAACACTGCTAAAATGATTCTAAATAATCTCAATTAATTTAAAAATTGAGGCATGTGATGCTACATAATTTCATACAATTAAACCTGTTCAACAACAAAACGATCATCATCGATCGATATTGGAACATCGTCCTTATACCATTTCACTGATGGATGAGGAATCCCAGAAACTGGACATTCTAAGTAAATTGATCTGCAAAATACTTGCTTAGAAATTCTCAGTATTTTGAAAATATGAAAAATTTTTTATTTACTTTCTTTAAATCTCGAAGTTATTAGAAAATAATTTGAAGAGTTTCTAGAAAAAGAGTGTAATGTTTTTTTTGCAGGAAAAGCATGAAATTATTTTAGAAAAAAAAAGCGAAAATGAATTGATTTTGCGAAGTTATTTCGCTATCAATTGCGAATTCCTGTAAAAGAGGCAGTAATTAAAAGAAGGAATTGAAAAAAATGATACCATCAAGTGAAAAATTAACAGAGATAAGATAAATTCTTTTAAAAAAATCGAAATGCTTAATATACAAAATAAAGTTGTGGTATATTCTTTGGAAAATTAGTGAGTTTTATATGCCAAATCAATAATTACAAATAGTCTTGCAGTAATAAGACTCATTATATAGATATATAATTGATGGTTAAAACTCCAAAAACGTGAAAAACGTGAGTTGGTTTTACATCATTTATTAATGAAGTCATTATAACTTTTGCTATGCTTGATAAGAACAGTTATAGTTGTCATTGTTATCAACATTAATTTAGTTATGAGAAGCATATAACGTATCTTTTTGATGTCTACATGATTTACAGAATCTATAAATGAAAGAGGCATTCAACGAAAGCAAAACTAGAAGTGAAAGATCGGAAAAAAGTATTGCTGTTGTGAATGTAATATCAGGATATGAAGTATAACCTATGATTCAGAGAGACAATTTTACTCATCTACCTATCAGACAATTTTACTCATCTACCTGTCAGACAATTTTGCTCATCTACCTGTCATCACCTGTTTTTGCTGAAATAATGGATCCACATAAGAAATTTAAAATAATTCATTTAAAAGCTAAAATAAACGAACTTCCCCATAACGGCCAATGGATTGCCGATGATATTTGAGGTGTCAATACTGGGTGGTACTAACACTTTCAGTGTTAGGTCAATATCCGCTGCGCCTGCTTCGTTTTCTGTTTTGCATGTGTATTTTCCTCCATCGCTTAGTTCCACACCACGGATCGTTAATTGCTAGAAAATGTAAAAATTTTCGAAAATTAACCATAAACATTTGAAATTATATTTTCTACTGACTGAAACATTTCAAAAAATTGAAAATTACAAATACTCTGATTAAGTTGGACAAATGCGCTTAGTCGTCTTTTTCTTTAGGACCAGAAATGAAGCTGGAAATTACTGAAATTCTTCAGTTACTATCTGAATTGATTCTTAGATAAGCATGCGAAATCTAAATAGCTTCAAATACAAATATTTTCCGGATGCATTTCAATGATTCCGTTGATACAATGCATTAGGAATGGGATATTAATCGAAGAAATCGATTTCGGAAAAAAAAGCTCATTATTGAGTTTATGCATCAGTTAATCAACTCATTAAAGCGTCTAATTTAAAAAACTTAGCACAAAATTGCTATCCTTCTGAAGAACTGATAGTGATTAAATCGGATCTTCAACGCATCCTCTTTTTCAAAAAAATTATTTTTATTTCTATATAGTCGCATTTTTGTGTTTAATTATGCATTTTTATGCAATTTCCATTTCAATAATCGTTTGGCGCAAAACTTTTATGGCATTTGCACATGCATTTATCGCAATGAAATGAGCTTTTATGTAAGCAATCATTAGCTATCAAGAAGAAGTAAACGTCAGTAGCAGAGTATGTTAAACACATGTAAACAATGGCTAGAAGTATGTGTAAAATAATAGATAAAAATTTGTATATTCTGGAGATTCCAAAGATGTCAAGATATATTATATCAATCCTATCCGGAAAACTTAGCCTTAGTCTAAGTGTAAAAGTAAATGATAACATCAATAAACTGGTTGTTGTATGTGCAAATATGCTAAAAGAAATACGAATGAATTACTTTTTTTTTTTTGCAATGAAATAATTCCCCAGTTAACCTAGATTTGACATATAACTGTTAATTTTATAAAGTAAAGTAAAATTTAAAATTTCGAAAGGGTAAATCAGTTTGAGTTGAAACTTTTGAAAAATTGAAAAATCTTTTTCTTTTTTTATATAGGAAATATGAGGACATTTAATAGAATTGTTGATTGATGGACATTATTTGATATATTTATTCACAAATAATAGAAAGATGGATGGCGAAAAGATGTATGGAATTTCCGTTCATGAAATTTGTTAATTGATAATAATTAAAGGAATATTACAATGATTCCCAGGTTAAGAAAGCATTGATTAGCGTATATTTTTTCTAAGGTGAAAAAAAATAAATTTCAGTCAGTTGTCGTCACGTCAATTGAGTAATAAAAGTAAGAAATTTATAGGAAGAAAGGGGAAAATAATTTCAGTCGTTTAAGTTACAAGCAATTAATTTTTTTCCTTTTTTTATCAATACTTTTGTATGTATTCCCAAATCTTTAGTAATTGAAGATTATTCTTCCATAGAAGATGAAAAATATCATTTTTTTTCGTTTTTTTGTTCACTTAAAAACGGTATTGCTGGACGGCGGATATGGTAATGTCCTGTTTGACCACTAAATATTGCCTCTTTTTTTAAATTTTCACTTGACAATATCCTTTGTTGTGTGAATTTTGTTACCCTTACAAAAAGTAAGACAAGAAAAAAGGATGATTTCTACTATTGCTATTTTACGTCCTCGACAACGGAAAATTTCTTTTTGCTAAAATTAAGTTTTATGGTGAGAAAATCTGTTAGTAGTAGTTAGTACTTCATCTTTCTTTGATCTTCTCTACTTTTGAGTTTAGATCATTGAGCAGAACTAGAAGGACATCAAATAGTATGTCAAATACACTAACATCGTGAGAAACAAACACATATTTTATGCTGAATTAATAAAATAACTAACCTGTCCATCTGGTGATATATGAATGTTTTCACGAAGATATAGAGGTGAATCACCACGAAACCAATGAATTTCCGGTTTTGGGTCAGCTTCAACATCACAATCCATTGTTACCGTTTTACCAAGTATTACCTCATACACAGCTTCACCACGATGATGAAATTTTGGTGGACCTGATAATGACAAAAATTTAATTCCATTCTATGCATATTTTGTCACAAATTTGTAATCCAAATTTTAGAAATTAAAAAGAAAATATTGACATTTCTCATAATTTTGATCCTATTATAGTGAATACTTTGAGTAAAAATTTTCGATGTTTGATAAGCCAGGGAATATCGGAAATGAATTTATCGTACATAAATTCACTTCCAGTAAGTTCGAAATAAGAAATGATAAAATTATATAATTCAATATAACAATTTATAAGTTCCAATGTCAAGTAGCCAATTATGGAATGGAAAAGGAATTAAAATTACCGATAATTTCAAGCTCATAATTAGTATTCAATATTCCAGCTTCATTTTCTGCGATACACGTATAACGTCCCTTATCATATTGCTAAAGATATATGAGCAATGAGTAAAAGTATACTCTACAAATAGGGAAAACACTGAATAGGATTTTTTTTACCTCTTATCTCATTAACCTTTCTAATATCCCAGCTTATTATCATATTTGTAGGCTAAAACATCCAATGTAAACTAAAAATCCGTGTTATACCTTCGATTCATGAATTATCAAATCGGTTTCTCCAAGAATTTTTGTGCTGTCAATCGTAATTGGTTTCCCATTGTATAACCATTTAACCTAAAAGAGAGTAAAATGATTTTCATGAATTAAAAATTATATTATCAGCATTATGAGTTCTGTTATTAAAGTAACCTTTGGTTTTGGATTGCCCTTTACTGGACAATGCATGATGACTCTAGTACCCTGAACAACACGTAGATTCTGATCGATTTGTTCCTCAATATGCGGCGCTATTAGAACAATCACCGTGAAACTGGCTTCTGCTTCTCCGGCAAAATTCTTTGCAACACATGAATAACTTCCAGAATCTGCTCTACAAAAAAAAAAAAGAACATGAAAGATTCTCTTCCAAATTAGCCCATAAAAACTTTTCATCTCCCTCTCTTTCTCTCCTCTCTCTCTTATTAACTTACTAAGGTAAGTTAATAAGAAGTTCCTTTATGAAAAAATTTTCATCAAACCTGCGTGATTTAAGAATCATCATTGTCTCTCCACGTGGACTCAATATGATATTCTTCATATCTTCGATTGGACGACCACCACGCATCCACCTGAAATTACAGTACCTGTGGTATTCTTTGTGGTCTTAAAATTACCGTATAGGATATTCCTTAAGTAGATAGGTAATTGAAATATCGACATGTGATATTCGCTCGCATTATTAATTAAAAAAAAAATCGCACGTGATAATTGGTTCTGGATGCCCATCGACTTTACATTCAAGACGTGCTCGATCACCATTACGAACTCGTACTTCCGCTTTCAGGTCTCGGAAACGTGGCTTGATAAAAACATCAACCTCAAAATCGGTTGATACTGTACCAGCTTCATTACGTGCTTCACACGTGTACCTAAAAAATCCTTTCCTGATTTAAAAAGTTTCAAAGAACGATATCCTGAACAGATTTTCAAACACTTCAAGTAAACTACCGAAGTATCAGGAAGGCGAATAGCAGGAAGTATAGCTCTTTGCAAATACTCAAATCTACGTAAAGGCGCATTTTGTTGAGTTAATATTTCACGAAGTGAGATAACCCGCATTTCTTAATAGCATTCTAATTTATACATATTTTCACCTGAAGTACTAAAAATGTCACCTGCCAGCATCAGAGGCTTTCGATGATTCAATCACAAAACGTGAGTCACGTGTAACCAAAGGTCGCCCATCTCGCTTCCACACAATCATCGGTTTCGGGTTTCCGGTTGCAACACATTCCAAAGTCAGTGTGGCGTTTTCCTTCACCTGCACAACACGTTCACCTTCCAGGATCGTTGGTGGAACTGGAAAAAAATTGTTGTTCATTACAAACAAAGGATTTCTACAATTATTTATGCAAATTTTCCACATCAAAATTATAATTAAAAAAAAAGGCGTACTATGAAGGAATAAGAAAGTGTTTGAAACAATCTTGACAATCACACTCTTCAGAGGAAAGGATAAACCATCTCCACAATAACTTCATCATTTACTCCAGTGATAAGATCATTTCTTGCATATCATATCAGTGCACATCACTTTTCAGGAAAATCCTAAATTGTACTATTCTAACTACTCACCAAGTACATAAAGTTGTGTTGTCATACGATGTTCGCCAGCTCGATTTCTTGCTATGCATGTATATCGTCCCGCATCACTAACTTGAGCTTCCCTAAATTTCTTCATTCTTCTCAAATTCAAAATTAGTAACAAGCTGAAGATATTCATTGCGATTAACCTAATTACAACTCTTAATTATATCTCAATTAATTTCGTTGGAAAACAAGCATTAATTTATCAAACTTAGTTGTCATTTTCGAGACACGCGTCTTCCTTATCGATGCAATACACAGAATTTTATCTATGCAAATTTGATTAACTGAATAACTAATATTTAAATTAATGCACTCTTCTTTTCTGCCTTTTCGCTTAAAATTCTCGAATTCCGAAGAAGAAACCTGAGATGAATGTAATGCAAATTACTGGATGACTGGGCTGTCGTGGCATTAAATCGCTGTCCATTTTTGAGCCATTCAACTTTTGGCACTGGGGTTCCACTCACTTCACATCGAATTGTTTGTCCTTGTCCTTGGATTACTTTCAGTTCATCGACAAATGTTGAAATTCTTGGTGGTGCTGCAATTCAGAGAATCAGTCGAATAAAATTACTTGAATTTAATAACTTTAACCTAATTTTTAAATCAAAAAGTAAATTTGAGGAAGTCTTGAAATAAATATGCAAAAACAGTTCTATTGAAGTTTACAATTACCTCGGTAATCGATAATTTTTACCTGTAACTTGTAGGAATGTGTCAGCTTCAGCTTTTCCAACTTTATTTGTTGCCGTACACGAATATCGCCCCTCTTGATTTACTTGTACTTCTTGCAGAACCAACAAGGTACCATTATCCAGGATCTAAATTTAAACAAGACCATTTCTCGAATATTTAGAAGAGTTAAATGGGGATCAATAAATCAAAAGTATCTCAGATGGAAATTTAACATAAAATGCGGATTTAAAAGCAACGTCCCAATATCACACATCAAAGCAAACATCGAGAAGAAATTCGAACAAACATTAATTTTAGCATAATCGAACGCACGAATTTATTATCAAAGGGAAATGCCGAACTTAAAAAATTAAGTTAAAGTGGAGAGGTGAATTAAATTATCCCCCTCACCGTATGAGGTGTTCACGTATAACACGTCACAGCTTTTCAATGCTATCTTCTAGTTAGCACTGAAAAGCTGTGACGTAATGTATGCGATTGTGGCATAAATAGTTACGTCAAAATTTTGAACGAATTAAAATAAATGAAATACTTGAATTTTTTCAGATGGAAAAATTGTTCGTCCATTAAAAGACCAAACAATGTTTGGCGTCGGTATGCCAGTTTTTTTACATTCAATATTTACTGTTTGGTTTAAAACTGATTCGATCGTACGGAAAGCTGATCCAGTGATTTTTGGTGGCACTGAAAGCAATTCATATAGCATATTAGCGCCATTCAGGAAATGATTCACAATCCCATATTTCTATACATCAACCAAATTTGTAATATTTTTGAGAGCTTGTTGAATTTCATTGTTGAAATATCTACGGAAATTTCGTTCTCCTCCAAAAGGAATTTGATTCTCTGTGTATGGAATTTTTCGTGACTTTATCAACTTCACTAAGAAAAGAAATATTTGAGTCGAATTTTGGTTGAACATAAATTTATAATTTAAGTAAGAAAATTGATTTCATTAGAAAATTTCTTTCATAGCAATAATAACTTCATGGGAATTCTTTATAAAATCAAATTTGAAAGTGTAAGCTATTTCACTTCTCATTGAATAAGAAACTTTCTGGGAAAAAAAAAAACACGAGAAATAACGTTGTAAGAAGTTTTCCCATGCAATTCAATATTGAAATATAAATATGTAATCGCTCTTTTAGAAATCTTATCAGAAGTGATAATATCACTGAATTTTACCGAAAAACATACGAGATTATCTACGAAATGATTTGAAGTAATTCAAAGCTCTTATTCTTGCTTTGCTAATTGTTGCTTAAGCAATTCATCGTATCTGTCAGCAACTCAAGTTGACAGGTAATTCAATTTCGAATAAATGCTTCTAGAATAATTGAAATTGCCAATTCTTTGCTGCTTAATTAAATTTACCTAAAACGACCACATTTATGTAAGCAATGGCTTCTCCAGCATCATTCCATGCTCGACAAACATATCGACCTGCATCGTAGAGTTGTCCATGCAGTATATGCAGTTTCAAGCCACTCGTTGATAGCTGCAACATATTTTAGAACTTTTCATTTCAATTAATTTTAAGCATTTTTGTGATAATTTTCAAGTGATATCAATCAAATTTATCATTTGATTTGTTATATTTCGACTCTTTTCAACTTTTAATATTTTTCACTGTATTGAACGGATAATTTGTTATGCAAAACTAGAATCTAAATGGGTTAAGCTTGTGAAATTGGAAAGAAAAAAAATCTCTTTTAATTTTAGTAATATGAACTCGTTTCAAGAACTTTTATTAGTACTGCCAAAAATCGTTCCCTCCAAAAAAAAAAAAACTGCTTTTCAAAAAAATAGTAATAAATTTTATTGGCAATAAATCAATCACGACGACGTGTTACTCATGATAGAGATTTTCGCACCACTTCCATCATCTCCTCCCAAAATCATACCCTTTCTATTTGTGGTGTCTTAAATAAAGAACCAGTTCTGGAAATTTCCTTTGAATTTCATTCATACGGTATGAAAATGGAATTATTCTTTAACAGTTAAATCTATTTTTTTACCAAACCAACTTTAGAAAGTTCAATGCAATGTGTCACCAATTAATTTTTGCTTTTCTCTTCTACTATCACCTATCAGCATTACTTGTCTAAAGTACGGTAGGATTAAATTTAGGAAATGACTGATCTTCCAATTTTATCCTCTTTTCATTTCCTGACGAAATAACTTTTAGAAATAAACAACTTCATTTGTGGGTCAATAATCCGCATTGCTCAAATATAATATGCAATATTTAAAATTTACCTGTAAATTATTCGATGTAGTAATCGGAATACCATTTTTCGTCCATTGTATTTCCACTGAAGGATCATCGATTGGACAGGTCAATGTTATTGTTTCATTTTCAGCTAATTCAACGACACGATATTGACCATCCATTTGCGGTGGTTCTAAGTAAAGGTACTAGTAGATGCAACGAGTCCCGTATTTTAGAATTGTGTCTTAAATTTCAATTTTAGATAAAATTAGCTTTCGTATTTCATCCAAACAAAGACAAAGGGATTAATAATTTCATCTAAGTTGTCAAATATCAGAGGGATGTGTTTGATTAGTCGTGGAACTTCAAAATGCTGGCCATATAAGATTTCGGATTACTTTAAATTAGTTGTAAGACTCAAAATATGGAATATTTTATGATAATGACTTTTCAGTTATAGCATGAGATTTGCAAAAATTCAAAATTTCAACAAAAAAGAAATTCACTAAGAACGGCTACGATAAGGTCTTTCTCCGCTCGACCAGGTTTATTTTCCGCCACACATGAATATCGACCAGCATCTTGATCTGCAGCTGATTCAATATGTAATTGTTGATGGTCATTCATAAATAATACATCCGATTCGTTGATTTGTTGACCATTCTGTAGAACAGTACGGTAATTGGATAGTTAGGTCAGAAAGATTACTAAACGTGAATACTATTTACCTATCCATAGATTTCTTTTTTTTCGAACTAATAGGTCATGTAACTTAATTCTACATATGAAATTAGTTTCAGTTGGCAAATTAATTTAGTACGCGCAAACAATTCGTCATTGTTCCCATAAGCCTTTCTTCTCTCCTTCATTTCCAGTCATCCGTTCGCTCCCTTCATTCAGATAGAATTTTAAAAACGGCAAACAAAGTTGAAGTTATTCTAAATCGATTATATTCAAAGCATTTTCAGGTCCTTCAAATATACCATAAGAATTGTTTTTATCTCTTATTCGCAATTAATTAATGAGACTAAACAAAAATTTATCGCATATTTTTCCAAATTCAATAATTGAATAAAGTTAATTGGAGAAAAATTATTCTCATAGTAGGTTAAAAAACAAAATTGATCAATTTTTTTAATGGATATTTAGTTAAATGTATGCTGACTATTACGCTTTCGTTTACACTTTTTGATTAATCATTAATTAGATATGAATATTAATGAACGACAAAAAGGTTTGGAAAGCCTCGATTGATTGCCATCTAGACTAAAGCTGAAGAATTACTGGGATGATTTGATATCCTCATTTTAATTACTGTCGTGGTTTCTAGATCACTTATGCATGGTATAGGTTTAAATTAAAACTGAAAGAAAGTGCTCATTTAGAAATTTTCTACCCTAATTTACAAAGCCAGATTACTGTCAACCAAACAGGATTGAAATGAAGAATACAAAGAGCAACAAACAGAAGAATTCACGACCTGTCATATTCCTTATTTTATGGTTCGTTGTAAAAAGAAGTCCAATAATTGCAAAGAATAAAATTTTCTAGTTTTTTGGATGGAATCATTTCTATCAATTGATATTTTATGAAATTTTTTCTTAAAATAATTTCACTGTCCTCAGAATCATTCATCTTTATCACTAATTAGAGCAAAATTTCATACATTTTATTTGTAATTAAGCAATAAAACACTACTGTACTTCGATTTATTATTGTCTTTTTGAAAGAATTGCTTAACCAAAATTGCCAGAAGATTAATAAAATATTTCACAAAGTTTATATCAATTTTCCCTTCCAATAATTTACAATTTATCACATTTCTTTCAGCACTCTTTTCTCGGTGATGAATGTGCCCTACCAAGAGATTCTCTGAATGAATGCTTTAAAATTTAATCGAGATTTCTTAAATTGAACGCGACAACAGGAGAGCTTGCTTGCATCCTTTCCCTCATCCATAATACTATGCTTACTTGCTACCTTTATAAATAACTAATCAAAAATATAAATATCCAGTGAAGTTAACCATGGATCAAATCCGGAATACTTGTATTGAATTCGTGCCGTAATTTCATCCTTCCAATATTCAGGCAAGCATCAAATATTTATTTGCACGCCTTCAATTCCGATAAAAGCAATTTCAATTGTGGATCTATGCGAATGATATGCGACAAGTTAAAGGCGTTGCTTTGACATATGGATAAATGTTTATCGCATATTATGCATATATGCTATAGTATTTTTGAAGTAGCTTGACTGCTTGTTGAAGATATTTTCATTCTATTCTTCTGAATTCTGAGATCAAAGATTATTTGATTTCAAGAAGAACAAAAAACCACAAAATTAGTAAAAAAATTATCTATAACCTTTAACCCATTTTATTTGTTATATGTTATACTTAAAAGGAAACGAGATACTGATCTTCTGCTAATATACAATTTTCTATTTGTTCGAAAAAAAGTTAAAATGCATTGCTATTTTTATTGATACTAAGTTGTAAACAAATTCCTTTTTAATTCGATCAGTCTTATTTCAAATAGAATTGAAAGATTTATCGAAATTTAACCAATTAAATATTATAATATCAATCATTTCTCTATTAGTTATTTCATTCAAACTTTTGTTAACTCAATCATTTATTTGTTTGCTTACCATTCCCCCTTAGGCATTAAGCGTTTCAAAATAACAATTATTCAATATATTTCACTTATTTCATGTTGAATATCAATTTGCATCAAGAATTTTTAAAAAAAAAATTTAATACTTTGCCATGAAAATTTTTGAACGAACTAAATTAATTAACTAATAAAATTTTTCTTTACTGCAACTTATTAATTAAAAACATTATAAATTTTTGGAAAAAAAAATGACTAAAACAGTCTACATCCGTCCCATATAAAGCGTATTCATGTCGTTTTCAGTAAAGTCAATTCATTTGAATGATTGACAGATTCTTCAAGTTTCCTCAAATACATTCATTTATTGAAAGATTTGAATTCATCATTTTTAAAGACATCTACGATCCGTTTAAAGACGTTAAAGGAATGATTAATATTGTCTCTTTCTTACGTGCTGTATCATAGACGTTGTCAACATAGGCGAAAAGTAGTGTGCTGTCAACAAACGCTGAGTATTGCGGAATTTATAGCATTAAGGTTTCAACAAACTTCAATGAAAAAGATATTAGCAATGAATCATTTTATGCTGAACACTTCTAAAATGATGAAGTTTGCATTATGAAAAAGGCAATGAACGAAGTAATACTATGATAAGGTAAAGAATGGAAAAATTTTAGGTGAAATAACTCTAGTAACTAGTTAGATTAGTTATTCCAATGCAACTAAACAAGTCTTGAATACAAACTTGCGGATATCCTGTGATTTTTTTCCCATCTCTTTCTATTCAATTACTTCTTTTGATACTTACTTACCTTTGTGTACGTACAGACCACCTTGCAAAGACTTACTGCTCCTTTCCGCTTTAGTTAGACATCAGCAATATTTCAATTGGGAATTTTAAAGTTATAAGTATAAATAAAAGCTTTAAGAGTTATGCAAGAATAATTCCTCCCTCTATCATATAACTGACATTGATCAAAGACTGAATATAAATGTCTGGTTGAGTTGAAATTTGCCAAATATATAAATTTCACTATTTAAACTTCCAAATCAACAAATGTTACTCATTTATGTCAACTATTTATATTTCACACTTCACTTTCCTAAACTGAACTGGCTTCTTTTTAAATATTAGTGTTTGCTTTTCTCGTCTCATAACATTAAAAACCTTTTCTAATTAAAATTCAAAGCTTATTACTTTTAAAAAATTTTTCGTGCATAATTATTTGCAACTATCTTAGTCCTCAAGAAAATGACCATGTTCATTCAATTCTTCACATGAGATGTGAAACAAAAATGCATTTATTCTTTTAAACTTTGAAATATAGAACATCCAAACGACCATCACATTGCCCTCATTTACAAGTATTTCTTCTTCAATCTTCAATTCTAACACTCGATGTCACATACAAGAAGATGAGTAATTCATCATATACCAGCGGTGTAAAGAAAGCGCAACTTGCTATCATTTATCAATTTGATAACATTCAAATTTATTAATTTCAAATATCCTCTTCTTTCTTCAGTGTAAATAGAAACTTTAATGATTGCAAAGCATTTATCACTGTTAATATATTTGTTTAAGCTATCCCAATCATGCCGCTCACAATATTCAAACATTTTGATTTACTTCCTTAAAATTTGATTAGCAAATTTGATGTTTACATTAGTTTGTTTTCTCTTCTTCCCTTTCCTCCTAAAATTGTCATTATTTATCTTCCCAATTAAACAAATTTTCTTTTTTTAAAAGTAATGCTCACGCTTATAGGATGAAAAGCATGCTGAATGGTGACAAAATACAAAATACCACGATACATAAATTACTTCTTGACAATGTGACATTTCGCGCTGTATATCTGGCGTAAATTTAGCAAACCATTACGTAAACCATTATCAATTTTAAGTAATGATATGATATCATTCGAATTTAACATCCAAAAGTAATTCGATATATCTCAGTTTTCATTTCATTCGGAAAATTCTAATTCTTCAAGTAGGGAAGAGCAATTCTCATCAGAATCCCTCACGAATATATTATCAAATCCAGCCTCCCAAAACTACTTTAGACATGAAGAGAAAGTTCTTGCACATGTAATTCAGTTTGTCTCTCTTCAAATACCTCAACTTTCTCGCCTTTTTATGTCATAAAAGATAATTTAGGAAGAAAATAAAAAAAGCACATATTCCTTCTTTACTTATTTATCATTTCTATTTAAATGCTTTCATAAAGTTCTTCGTCTCTTTACTAGAATTTGGCAGAATTAATGTGTAGGAAATTTCATTTTCACTTAAAAATAATTCCAATTCCAATCTTTCAACTTTATCTAAATTAAAAAAAAAAAACTTGAGTATTGAAGGGGAGAAAGAATTATCACATAAATACTTAATTATTTATTTACAATTGGAAATTGTTTTCAAAATCCAACTTAAAAAGTAATCGCATTTTGATAAATAGAAGAAATTTCATGTAGTTCTACAAGTTGAACTTTGAACTGTCTATTATTTTAGTCTTCTTCTGATTCAATTTGTGCAATTTGATTCGATTTCACTCTTCTCAAGAGTTTATCAATAGAAAGATGTCTGCTTTGATAGAAAGATAGTTATTGCCACTTAACAGTTGATAGTTTAATATGATGGAAAAATTGAATTCCATTTCATTCCAACTAATATCAATGGTCATTACGTCATGACATACATGATATACGTACGTAAGTGCGTAATTCACTCGCAATCACTTGCAAGCTAAACAAGTGATGCTCTGCATTATTAGGCATTTGGAGGATGATCGTATGAAGAGAAGGCGTTGCTGGGTGACAGCAACAACATTCAGATGGGTTCCGATAGCGCTCGTCAACGATGAGCTTTTTATTGCTCGACCTAGCCATCACAACTTCATACAGGTGTTTCCGATGCATTTCATCCAACCCTCTCGCATCACTTTTTCGCTAAGATCCTATTTATCAACAAGAATGTCTGCTACAATCTCTTAATCTCTCCTTTTAACCTTCAACAATCACTTTTCATTACTTCAACGGCATTGTGGTAAATTTTAAATTTGCAAAAAAGAGAAAAGTTTTTTGTTTTTTTATTACTTTCAAGCTAATAATGAAACTTTCCGTTTCACATTCTCAAATATTTTTGGTGAAAGAACGAGATTTTTTCCGGGAAAAATCTGAAACTTTATTCGCAAAATCTGTCCATTTATCTTCTCTGTTTCGGGAAATTATACCAAATGCGAGATATAAATGATATAAAAGAAAGAAAGAGAGAGAGAGAAAAAAGAGAAGAGGGAAGCCAATTTAATTATAATTAATAAAACTTCAATCGACTTTTTTCTTTTTAGTATGCTAAGATTTCATTCATTTGTTTAAATATTATATTTTATATGTGAGCCAAACTTCTAACAAATTTCCATTTCCATTTCCGCTCAATGCTTGTCCATTGTCGCAAATGAAAAAGAAAAAAAAAGAGAAAGGGAAATTCGCTTCTTACAAATGTATGCTTAATTGTATGAGTCATGTAATAGAACATGGCATTTCAATCTGATGGATGGTTGAAAAGCTGCGATACTTGGCCAAGTAATGATGCGGTATTTGTATTATGAATAAGTTAAGAGATAAACTGAAAAATAAGCAATAACCCAACGCTTATGACTTACTGATACAGATTTTATCGAATAACACCAACGAAATTATGATATAATTTTCATAAAAAGGAACAAGTAAATTTGGGAAAAAATTGTGACGAATTTTTTTTTTTCAAACTGTTATAAAATTTCATCATCTTATTTGTCACTCTTTTCATTTCTCACCAATCGATTAAATTTTTAATTTTTTAAAAGTAAAAACAACCGAACCTTAAAGAAAGTTTATTAAAACTCATTCGAGAAAGCCTATGCTATAGACGACATCCTTCTTAAAAATGAATGTGAAAAAAAAAAAAAAACAAAAACTGCCCATTCTTAATTTTGCATTTTGAATAATGGATGACACCAAATAATAGATGACACTACTTCGATTATGGAGAGAAGGAAAAGAGCGAAACAATTTCGTGATGTATTTCCAACAAGTCACACTTGCTGTCATAACTATCGAGTAGATTAGCAACAATTCAGAAAAGTACATGACATTTACTCATTTACTATTCGAAACTTTCTGGAAAACCTCATTTAGACAAATCATCTAGTAAATACTGTTAGATAATAAGTCTGGCTTGATATTTTTGTGCTAGAAAAATGACAGTGAATGATTGGAATTAGACGAAATTAATGAGAACATTCATTTATAGTTTGCTTAAAAATTTGAAGGGTTTTAAATAAGTTTAGAAATAGCACTTTAAAGTGCCCCATATAAGTTGTTAAAAATTGGACGTTTTTTTTCTCCACTATTTCATATGATTTCAGATATAGTTTTGGGATATTTATTCTCTGTTCCATATGCTTTATGAATTTAGTCATACGATGTGCAATGAGCCATAATAAAACTACCCTGTGAAGCCTAGGCTCCATTTACTTGAAGAAGCAAGCTATGCTTCATAGTTTTTCTCGTACCAGTAGTCTTGCATAGAGTGCAAACGTGTCCACTACGCATTTGCTGATAATTTCCGTTTTATTCTGGACTATTTTAGTTATTCAAAGTTCACGTTTTCATTTAAAGTAGAGAGAATTATTTCAGATTTTGAATTATTAAATTATTAACTCCATGGCAAAGTTTGTAAAAGAGTTTATGCATGAGTCGATATCATTTCTATTTTAAATTTGATAAAAGCAATAAATTCCTTAACTGATAAAAATTTTTGCAATCTTCTATAAGTTAATCAAAGCTGTTGACAGTATGAAGTAATGAAAATGACTCCAACAGTATTTAACTAAGTTATTAATTTAGATATGAGATGGAACCATTTATTAAACTGCAAACATACAGTAATCATTCTGACCACATCATTTTATGAATCATTTCATTCTTCAACCACATTTTTTCTGATAGTTGTTAAGGTTAAAGTTCACTTTGGTGTGTGTTTTTTTTTTTAAATTTCCTATTCATTATTCATATCGAAAAACTTCATATTTTATGGAAAACTAACATTCATCAGGATTGGCATTCTGCCAATTAAAAGCTAATAGTTCGAAATTGTTAAATTGATGAATCCCAAAGGAGAATTGGCTAAGCTTTACAACGCTGCTTCTTTCCTAATGAGGCACTTGAAAATAGAAATTCATCGAGTAGGATAGGACAAGTGCGCAATGCAAGCAAGGTATACTCACGAATTCATCATCCACTCTCACCTTCAGAGGCATTGTTAAAGTTTACTGATAGAGAAGTTTCTCACAAATTTCCCTCTCGTCCTCTATCACCATTATCATTATCACTACCTAATCAATCCCTCCATATTTTTGTCCCTATTTTGTGTATTTGCTTTGAGAAATAAACAATCTTATCTTCATTTTATCCATCTAAGAAAAAAAAATCCCGAATAGCCATATCTGACCAAAAAAATTGCTATAGCAACGTTTCCCTTCATACTGCAGAGCTTATGCATGTAGGCTCATTTTCGTGGCCCATCTCACATGAAGATTTATGGGTTCCATCTGGAAATAGCACCGAAAGATGGACTGACTGACTGATCGAGTGGTGTGCGGGGGACGGAGAAAAGGAGTTAAGCAAGGCTGATTAAGAGTGGAGAGGAAGGAAAGATGCATAGAGGCTAAAGGATAAAGCTTAGAAGAGGCGTGGAAACACTCGAAACCAACTTTAATAGCAGACAAATTTTCAAATTCTCAATGCTCGTTTTTTTTTCCTTCACTATCGGCTCATTTTCCGTAAGAGTTCAGTTGCCGGCTGTTTTTTTTTTTTTTTTTTGCTATGAATGTCAATGGTCGAACTCTCTTGACATTTCATAAACAAGAGCGCGATCGACCAATGAACCATTCATCGGGAAAATTGTCGGTAATTATCAATTTAACTTAAATTAAGCTCAATGATATACTTCAAGTATAATCCTAACTTAAATTTAGGGAAAAACTTATG